AAAAATTTAAATTTGTTTCATTAAACATGTATATTCATAAAATAATGATTTATCATTCAAAACAAAATTGATTTTATTCAGCAATTAGGCAGTTCTATGTTGTTTCATGGCTATATAAAACTGCCTAAATTCTGCATAATTTAAAAACTATTTAAAACTTAACATTTATACTATTCATTTATAAATACCATTATAGCTAAAATTAGCTAAAATTAAAATAGTCCTAAATTACTATTATAGACGCTTTTAAAATAAATCTGATAAAGCAACCTACATATATAATGTACATGTCACTAATAAGTCAAAGATAAGATGTCTTACTGATACTGTCGGTATGTTTGATTTCCAAAAGATACTCACAAAGCTCCTCATTTTACGTCCATTTCTTTTTCAAACCTACGCATGAAAATCATCACGCGCTAAGTAAAACATATTGAGACAATACTATAGCTAAAGTGATATAAAACATAAATTTCACAAAGTATATTAAAACTTTCAAACCGAGCTATTCAAGTCGTTTTCCTCTTGAAAACTTGAAAATCGTCATCTCATGATTTTACCAAAATCATATAAATCAACATCAAATGTCATAAACCCATATTCTTTTCATTCAAACATATTTTAGAACTTTCATTTCATTTTCATATACTTGTCATAACTTTCATATTTACTTTTATAGTCCAATGTATGTAAGAGAATATAAGGTACGTGAGTTCAACATAAGGTGCGTACTAGGCACATCACGATGTCAATCATAACTGATCATAGTCTTCACTCCAAGTGTAATCATAACATGAGCACCAACGGTGCAATACATAATGTACACAAATGTACCATAACTTAACTTGAAGTTATTCAACTTAATGACATGCCAAATGTACTTATGACTATTAATACAACATACAATGTACTTATAGAACATAATATAATCATTATTTAATCAACATTTTAAAAATCATAACATTGAAATTCATAGTCATATAAATCGTGCTTGGGTAGTTTATACCCTAAATCATTCATAAAACTTGTTGAAAACATTATGAAAATAATCCATGATAAAAATTATAAATCATACTTTAAAGTAATATGAGGTTGACTTATTGCAAATCATCATCGATCAGAATAATTAAATAAATAAATTGCACTCACTTTGATACTTTATTTATAAATCAACATATAAGCCTCACTAAGCTTTAGATTTAATCTTTTGCTTTCAATTGCTTTAACTACATAATTTATTGAAATTCCATACTCTGACAGTTTGCACCACCTTTAAAGAAATTTATTCTATATTAATATACATACTTAAAAATTATTTCGTTTATACCATTGAAAACTAGACTCGAATATGAATCTAACCATATAAGACACTTCTTCTAATTCAAATTGTACAATTTATAGTGAATTTTCAAGATTGGCTTACAAAAACTGTTTTGAGCAAAATCCGCTGTCCTATTTTCTGACCTATCATCGATTAAAAATTCATATCTTTTTGTGTACTTCTCAAAATCAGTAGATGTTTGTTTAATGAAAGTAGACTTATATACAAATCCAACAGTATAGAGATCATCCTCTAATCACTTCTATATAATTTATAGTGATTTTCTAAACTTATTGTTCGAATCATAATATCTAGACAGCTTTCTTTATTTATAATCCTTAGCTTAATCCATAATTCTATTAGCTTACCAAATGAACATATGTGCATGAATCATAAATTACATACTATTTATGAGTCACTTCTTACCATAGTAACTCCGTCACTGGCTCATCACAAGCCAATTGTTCGTTCGATAACATAAATACAAATTAAATATGCAATCACCTTTGCCTCACTATCAAGCATTCTCCACGATAATCTTCTCAATCATGTATCTTTTTCTTTCCTTTCGTGTTACTTGGATCACTAGATTTATCGTGGTCTGACGATATCATATAATAACATAAAATATTTAAACTATATGTTAGTATCGAACTAACATAATCTAAGCTTAAATATTAATTTGATAGAAATAAAAATCGATACTTAAATCGATATAAAACTAAATAATGTTTTCCTTCAAAATTTCAAACTTCTCAAAATGCTTATCTGATTCCATACATATTTATTTTCATCTTCAGCCCTTTTACATTTGCCAATTCACAATCGAATCACAATTTATGAATTCTTTTTAGAATTCATACCTACTTTTCAATTTAATTCATAATGACCATTCACCATTATAATAATTTTCACATAATTTACTAAAATTTCCAGAACCTTAATAAAATTATCAAATCAATACCTTAACATTCAAAAACTTGCAATTTCATCCCATTGTTTCTTAGACTTTTCGAAATTGACCATCCATTTTTATAAACTTGTAATTTGATCCCAACTCAACATTTAAACTCGAAAATAAGCTTATAAATAGAATTTCCAGCAATGTAATATTTTACCCAAATGATAATTTCACATTTAATAAGTTTGCAACTAAGTCCCTAAAGTGTCAAGACCTTTCTAATTCCACATTGTAATTTACCAAATTTGCAATTTGGCTCCAAACAACTTTCCAACTTAAAATTCCAGCATTGCATAATTAAAAATTCAACATTGAACTTCTCAATTCTCACCTTTATACAATTATGTCCCAAAATTTTCAAAACTTGTAAATTAGCCCTTTTACTGACTGAAGATTCCAAATTGATCTCCAAACCACATAGAACACTTCTAATATCAATTTTAGACCATAGGAAAATTTTCAATATTTCCCCCCTAATTTTCCCCTTGTGGCCGAACTTATTCAAGTATACATAGCAAGCTTTTCATTCAATTTCAAGCATGAATTTAACTTCCTTACATCATATTCATGCTATTCTAACCATCAAAACATCAAATTAACCAAAATCAACCAATCTCATAAACCCTAGTCATGACTGAATACACTACAAGTCTTTACACATAATTTTAATTATCACACATGCCTTATAATTAATCTCCAACATCAATAACATAAAAATCCTTTGTCATTTCTTCAAAATCCATAAACCCTACATAAACCCTAATTCTCAAATCTCATGAAATAAGCATGATTACCATGTAATATTTATACCAAATGATAGAGAATTTCATATAGATTAATTCTCTATTTCACAACTTAGTCCAAAAATCAATCATGTAAGCTTAAAAATGAAATCAAAATTTTCTCTTACTTTGGTATAGAGCTCACGACTTGGAGAGGGTTTATGGCTGAAAAATGTGTTAATTTTCTTGATTATTCTAGCATAAATAATCCTTAACACAAGCTTAATATAATTTAATTGAATTTAAAATTCAATTAATGAGAAATTTCATTTTTACCATTAATGAACCTTGATAATTACAAAATTCCATTGCATTATCTTCCATTAAGATATTCCGTATTCAAAGATGAACCAATTTGGCTTTGAATTTCTACTTTGACCATGCAATTTTTTAAAAATTGCATTTTAGTCACTAATTTTCCACTGTTTGGCCCAAATCTGAAAAATTAAACTGACATGTGCTAAATTTTTATGATCTAAAATATGAAAATAATATTTCCAACACTCATCTAGCATCCTTCAAAATTTTGTAAAATTTTGGTTTAATCTGACTATCTGTTTTCTATACCGAACTTTATCGCTTTATAACTTTTAACACAATCTCGTACCGAAAATCTGATTACCACGAAAATTCTAGTTTTAGGCTAAACTATTATTTACGGGCTAAAATATATAGCTTTTCAAAATTACATTTTTAGTCCCTAAACTTTTACAAAATTTATACTTAGCCATAAAACTTACATTGTAGTCACTAACCAAAATTTTTGGGTATTGGAATTTAGTGTAGGGAATTGTTGGTGATTTTGATTTAAGCGTGGATCTTGTATGGATTTTATTGGGGATCGCTATACATCCATTGCATGTGAATTTTTTCTAATAAATTATTTATCTATTGTGTAAAAAAAATACAAGGTAGTATCTATTAAAAGATTCTCAAAAATTTGACAATGAACGTTCATTCTCAAGACCTCAAGAAATAACAATTCATTTACCGCTAAAATCATACATGATATTGAAATTCAAAACCTAAAAAAAATAACAATAACCTTTAACCATTAAAATCATTTAATTCGTATAAAACATTAGAAAGCATTAATATGATCGCTGCCCCTCGTCCTCAAGACTAGGGTGCTTATCGAGCGAGTCGATCGCGAGTTGGTCAGTGCTCGACTCATGTTCATTAAAAGAATTTTGTTGCTAGACTCGACTCGTTACTAGTTAAGCTCGTTAAAATTTTGTTCGACTCTTGCTCGTTAAGAAAATTTGTTGCTCGACTCGTTGCTCGTTAAGGTTGTTAAAATTTGTTGCTCGACTCGTTGCTCGTTAAGCTTTTTGCTCGCCTCGTTAAGCTCATCAATTTTTTTTATTTTATTTTTCTAACTATAAATAAAATCTAATAATATTATATAGAACTTCATATAAACATAAATTAATAAATTTAACCTAAAAATTATCAAAAGAGTATATGAAATAAATTGAAGGTCTAAATACCAAAATAACAATTTATAAATATATTGAAATGATAATTAGGGTTTGATTTTGAGTGTAGTAAAATAATAATTACTAACTAATAATTTAGTATTTTTAATTATTTATTAGAAAGTTCATAGATTAATAATTTATCATTTTTATTATCTTTTACTAAATTAGTAATTATTAAAGAACCTACTCAGGACAAAGCAAGGAGATGGAGATGGAGATGGAGATGGAGATGGAGATGGGAGATTTCCCACCCACTCATTGCTTCAATCATAACACCTCCTTTCCCTCTCTTCCTTTCCCTCTCTTCTTCCTTTCTAACCCATATTTACTGCACTATTCTCTCTCCCTGTTAGCGCTAGACTTGTCAAATCATGTGTTTTTTACACTTTTGAAAATCTGTCTTACAATTAATTCACATAAAAATACAACCAAAACCCAATTATTTCCTTTCTTCTTTGTCGTCCTACTGTCTTCCCTTTGTTATTGCTACTATTTACCTTATCATTTCTTCAACCTTGATCCATTTTATGCTTTTTTTTTTTGTTTCTCTTCCTTTGTTCTTGGTGAATACTATAGAAACTTAAAAGAGAGAGAAAAAATGTCAATGGACTTGACATCTGAACGTATCTGGTATGTGCAGTGCAACATCTGCAACACCATTTTAGCGGTACAGCACTGAATTCCATTACTATATATATTTATCTATCAATTTATGCATTCTTTTTCTTCATGTATCTTTCTTTTTCTTTGATTTAATTAGGAAAATGCCATTTTTCCTGTAAAAAGAGAAAAATCCACTTCTTGATGGGATTGTGAGATATTTTTATGATTTAACTCGGAACTCATATTTTATGAGAAATTTTAGTATGGTTTATGGCTCAAAGTGTCCAACACATGACCCAGAATTCCCATATGAAATAAGCACAGGGTGTTGAACATATTGGTGCACGATGAAAGCATTATGGAAGGCCAAGGGAAATTTTAGTTCAGCCTTTGAAATAGGTTATTTATACACCTAAAGACTTTTTGTTGTGATAAAAAATTCTTTTCCAAGGGAGCTAAAGTAGGTTTGGCTTAGGGTTCTTCCAGATCAAAAGATAGAAGAGTTTCTTTTATCTTTATTCAAGATCCTAAGCACTGCACAGATTAAGTAATCAGTAAATCAATCACCAGACTTGAATTTTATCTTTATCTTTGTTCAATGACATGCTCTGATAGCTTTGGCCTGCCCTTTATGGTTTCCGTTCCGGTCACGTTCTTTTCATCTCCCCCCCCCCTCTGAGCTTATGTATATAGAGGTGTCAGGCTGAAAAATGTCATGTGAAAGGAGAGAATATATCGAGAGAATTCCTTCTATATAAAACAGACCCTTACAAAAAACTTGAAAGGATTACTTCATGAATGATGTTTTCTCTTATGCTTCAGACATTACGAAACTTTTGTGTTTGGTATTGGTGGATATGGCAGATCTAGAGATTTTGTAAGGAAAATGTATAGGGATCTATTCTAAACAGATATGAGGGTTGGGGCTATGATTTATCAATTAGTGTTTGTGTTTGTTCCAGCAGATTCAACTCTTTGAATGACCAAAAGATAAAGATAGGGTTGGCTTCAGACATGTGATTGGTTGTGTCTATAGCAGTAAGCATTAACATCGCCGAAATGAACTTTTATGTAGGTTAGTGTTCCATGCAACAGTGGGTTCAATCTGGTGACTGTTAGATGTGGGCATTGTGCAAATCTGCTGTCTGTAAATATGGGGAACTCTCTTCAAACAGTTCCCATTCAAGATGCTCAGGTATTTTCAGATTCTTTTTGGCAGCCCCCCTTCTTTTCTGGGACATTCTTGTGACTTCCTGAAATATTAAATTCAGAAAGAAAAGAATGGTAGCATTTAAGACAAGGAATAATATATATATACAGTTTCTTTTTTAGTTGATCAAAGAATGGTAGCATTATCCACAAAATTATTTTTTTGGATAATTGACTTGTTTGCTTTCGTTTTGAGAGGAGTTGCAGAAACAGCAGGTAGCCATTGATGAAGATCATTCGAATAAGGAATGTGGGTCGTCTTCCAAATGCAACAAGTTTTCTGCAGAGCATGAACCAACTAGAATGCCCCCTATTCGCCGTTTGTTTCTCTGTCAATCTCATGATATACATACTTATGTGTCATTCAAATGCATTGAGATAGGTTCCCTTAAGTAATTGCTACATGCATAGCGCCTGAACCTACTACCACAGCCTTTTTAATGCTGGATAATTTCACCCTACCCCCCCGGCCCACCAACACAAATGGCCATAACATAGTCGTTGATAGGAACATAGTAATATCGTCAGCAGTTAGCGATTCACTCATTTTGATTTGGACAGAGAATCAATATCAGTGATAAAATGACCGTCGACCGATAACTTTGTAAGGGAGAGAGTTAGTCATAGAGATGATGAAGAAGAAGAAGATTGTATTAGTGGTCGTAGAGGTTTCAATCCCTCCCTCGATTGTGTTGAGGTGTATTATAGTGACCCTAGTCTAGTGTTGATAGTAATTATGGTTATTTGTAGGTCAACTGACTAAATAAGTCTTGTTGTCATATCTTAGATTTAGTTATAGTTTATGGTATATCATGTGAGTCTGTCATGTATTATTTGTGTACCATGATTTTCTAAGAAGCCCGTGCTTAGAAAGTGGTGGTTCCTTGAAGGTTTCGGTAAGTGGAGAGGTTAACCCGAGAGTCTTAACTGGTGGAGGTTTGGTTGTTTCCAAAGATTGTCTCACAGCTATAACAATAGCAGATAAGGATTTCGCCTATCAGAAACACCTTATGCAACTCATTTGATCTCTCCTCTCAAATCCTAGCCCCTTCCAAGATGGTGACCTTACACACAAGTTCAACTCATTAATTATTAACAATTCCATAGACATGTCTATAACAGTTTGATGTATGGGTTCTTTTTCTTTTTTATTATCACAAAGAATCCAAAGTGAGTTGCTTTGCATGTAGATAGACCATTATTGAGTACATCCCCAGGCTGGTGTCCTATACCTATATATACCTGCTTATTTTTTTAAGATTTCACCTGACAAAATAAATGTCGATTGCCTATCCCACTAGAGAGTTTTCCATCCTTTTCGATTGTATGGTCTAACATATGAATTTCAGAAAGTGTTTTGGTTGATTGAAGCTTGTTTATAAGTAGATGTTTAATTAAACTACGTGATATAAAATGCAGCACCTGAGAAGAGGCAACGTGTTCCTTCTGCGTATAACAGGTTCATTAAGTAAGTCTTAACTCAATTTTCATGGTTAATTGCTTTGATGAAGGATCATAAACCCCCATCTCTCATTCACTTTCCTCTTCTGGATTCTTACTATTTATAGGGAGGAAATCCAAAGAATCAAGGCTACTAATCCAGATATCAGCCACAGGGAAGCTTTCAGCACAGCAGCAAAAAATGTAAGCTTTTTTATATATATACAGGTTCTGCAAATAAACATATATCTATATATGTATAGTCACTGACTCACTGCTGCTTTTATCTGCAATTAATAATCCTATTACATGAAATTAATCCATTTCACCAATATGGATATGCATGCCATGATTCCTCCCCATGTCAATTTAATTCTATATATGCAGAGACATTTACTTGGGTTGTTACTACCATGATAGCCAACATTAAGCCTCTCAACCACCCTTAATTCAAGGCTTGTGTTGTTATTTCTTAAGCCACTACAAACATGTTACTTATTTTTCTATTATTTCCTGCTTGATTTGATATTACTTAGGTAGTTTTGTCATGCTAGAGAATTAATGTTTGAATTTTCGAAATGATATTATTAAGAGAGATAATTTGATTATTAACTATAAAACTGAAATAAAAGATGATTAAATTAATGAATTTTGACAGCTTATAACTATGATGATACACTTTTATTTATGGAGATTGTATTAGTATTTCATTTCCTTCTTAGCGCATTTTATTAAAAATGATTTGTCAAAATGATGCATTGGACCTTTTTCAAGCTAGTTTAACTTAGAAAAATAACTATTTCAACAACAAATACTTAGAAAATTAAGGGGCTAGAAAGGCCTAAGAACTAGGTATAGTTTTCATGCATCTTATCCTAATTAATTTGGTTATAGTAGTTCATATGTTCAAAGAAACCCCCAAATATCATATGCTTATTAGGTCAAATGACTAGTAATTAAATAGTTCTCAAGAAATATTTTAAAAATTTGAATTCTAAACCTTATGTATTAATCAAGTTGTGTAGATACCATCTTTTAAGGGTGACTTTGATGAATTAGTTGGGTTACAGCTGAGAGCAGGGATGGACTGAAGGGGCTAGCGGAGGCGGATGTACCCTTGAGAATTTCAAATTCCCATATGTTTTAGATATATCCTGTGTTTTATATCTATAATATATTTTCTATCTCTAAAATTTTATAAGTCGCACCCTTAAGACATTATAAGTTCACCCCAATATAAGATTATGCGTGTAATTAACAGTAGTAGTATTTTTGCAGTGGGCACATCTTCCTCACATTCACTTTGGGTTAAAGGAGGATGGGAACAAGCAAGCAAAAGTTGACCAGGAATTTGCAGATCCTCAAAAGTCTAATGGGTACCACTGAACACACAATGCCATCCCTCATCATCATATGTTTAATTACTAAATGTGTGTTGCTTTTCACATTCTATCCATTACATGCAGTTTCTTTCTACTCTACTGAATGCATTTATATATGTTTAATTCAGATCATATTTTTCAATTAAACAAACAATCCCATGGAATAATTGTATTGTGTAATTTCTCTTTTAGTAACAATAATGGTAAAGTCTCAACCTTTTATCCCTTTGCTCTTTTATCTGTCTCTCCTCAGACTGGACCACTTAACCAATATATGACATTTCATTGATTTGCACAAAAGACAATGGGCTTCCCCCTACCTACATTTAAAGTTCTTTAATTTAACTCGTTCTTCTTTGTTCAGATATAATATTAGCATATGTTGCAATGGCATGGATGGATCACAGAATGATGTGCAGTTATCTCACATGTGTTAACCTGTCATGTTCAGAGCTCAAATCAAATCGTTAAAAAAACATTTGATCAGATGAACAAAAATAATTGCAGTTTATAGTATTTTGTTGATTTCTTTTTGTTTTTTCACCGAATTTGATGGCACAGAAATCATGCAGCAGTGTTTATCAGAACACATGCATTAAAAAACCCACCTTGGGATGCTAAAACACAATATTTTACGATTCTTTTAGGTTTAGCCAACGAAACCCTACAAATATTCTTCAAGGGTCTAATGTCTGCATGCTCTTCCTTCACTGTGTATTGCTGAATTGGAAAACCTTTTCCCTGATGTATAAGGTACAGTAATCTTAATATACGGATAAAGAATGTTACTGAAAATATTAATATTTTTTTTAATATTTTCGGTAAAATACTATTTAAAATATTATTTTTTCTACTGAAAATGTTAATATTGGATGCTACCTAAAATGTTTAACATTTCTTGTAAAACGCTACCTAAAACATTATTTTTTCTACCAGAATTGTTAATATTGGGCGCTACCCAAAATATTTTTTCTTACTGGAAATTAGGTAGCGAAATTAATATTTCTGATAAAAAAATAATGTTTTAGGTAACGCTTTACCGGAAATGTTAAAAAAAATTAACATTTCCAGTAGAGCCTTTCTTTAGTAGTTACAACAAAACTACCATTTCCCTTTTACTTGATTTTTATAGTTAAAATCATAAACAAACAATAACATATAGTTAAAAATCAATAAAATCATGAACCCTAATTTAACATCAAACAATATCTCATTAGGTTAAGGAAGTCAAACTAAAAAAAATGCTTAAGTTAGCCTTTAATGATTTTGTATCTTTTCACTTTCGTGTATAACCCTAACTTCTAATTTAACATGAAGAGGAATAAGCCCAAACCAAAAGCACTTTGGATATTGTTGATGAGAACAATGTAGTCTTGTCGACCATTGACGGTTTATTTCTTCTAATTTGGGTAGAGATTCGCAATCAGTTGTGATCTATTTGAGAAAAGAAGTGAAGGTAGAGGAAGATAAACAATGTACGTTCGTGTGAGTTGGAGTCGAGACATGCTTATTCTCAGTCATGCTTAGGGATATTTATAGTGATTTTAGTTGGTAGTATTGACATAGTTATTACTATTTATAGATAGTGGCAAATTTAAAAAATCGGAGTCTAAAGTTTCAGGATAAAGTACACAAATAGTCATTCGACTATAAGGTGTTGTTTTGTTGAGTCTCTTGATTATTAAAAGTTACAAAATGGTCTCCCAACTATAGGGTGTTGCTTTGTTGAGTCCATCGTTTATTAAAAGTTATAAAATGATCACCAAACTTTCATTATGTTCCGAATTCATCATTTTTCATTAAAAAACTGACGACAAATTGAGTTACATGTTAATATGTTGTCAGATATATGATAAAATTTGATCATAGAGTCTCAAACGACTATCATGTTTTAGACAAAAAAATTAGCATCCAACTCAAACTACCATTATTTTTAATGAAAAATGACGAGTTTGGAACATAATGAATAATCGGGTGACTATTTGTAACTTTTAATAGTCAAAAGACTAAAAAAATAACATCTGGATGATCATTTTATTACTTCTGATAGGTGAGGAACTCCACAAAGTAACACCCTATGGTTGAGGGACCATATGTATACTTTGGCTAATTTTAATACTCATTTTCAATAAATTGAGTATATAAATTTTCTTTTTTTCCTCTCTTTCCATTAATATATTGAATTATATTTAATAACTTATCAAAAATAAGGATACACATTTCAACACTGCTCATAGGTCAACAAACCAAACAAATATGATTGGTATTAAGTTTTACTCCGTATATCATGTGAGAATGTTAAATGTCTAATCATAAGATTATAGTTATCTAGAGAATACGAGACTCGAGTTGAATTCGTGTAAGGAAAAACTATCTTCAGAGAGAAATAGAGGATATCTTCGAAGATATCCTCTTTTGCATGGTGCAATCCCCACTGGAGCACACAATAGTGCAGTTGATGCCCTCTCGTCCTAACCAGCTGACTCGAGCCACCATAAAGTGGGTCCATGAATTCACCACCAAAGTTCAAAAATTGGTTTCTAACCTCCATAAAAAGAATTTTTTGAATTCACCGGAAAAAGGTTACTGGTAATGTTGGGGTGTAAATGAAAGTGTCCGATGGGAACGAAGCTAACAGTACAGAATCTGTAATGTCAAATCATCAAGTTTGGGTTTTGGATATATATAAATAAATAAATGGTGGGTATTTTAAATTTCTTTTTTGAAAATTAATTATGTGAATACTAGGCTGTCATGTCACAGATAGGCAAGCTAAGATAAAAGCTTATATAAGAAAATAATCAATGTCAGTCGATGAGTCAGCGAGTCAGCAGTGACATAATCTTTTCTTTTCTTTGTCTTTCTCTTTGCTAACATCAATGCTCTGAGAAGATGCTTTGAGATTTCTCACTTTGTCTTAATTTGTCACTGCGATTTTTGTGTGATAAAACCATATAGGTATGTCCCCACACCGTAGAGATGAAACCAAAATTTTAATGTTTTTGGTGTTGGGATAAAATCAAGCTATAGCTATTTATAATCAAAATGAATAATAATAATAATAATAATAATAATAATAATAATAATAATAATAATAAATTCCTAATATTTGTATATATAATCACTTTGTTTTTTTAGTATTTTAGCTTCAAATATTTTAATTTTTTTATTAAAATAATTCATGTTAGATAAAAATCGTTAGTTAACTAACACACATAACGTAGTATTTTCATATGTGTTTAATGAATGATGTGATATATGATACATCACTTTAATGACATGATACGTGATATATCATTATTTTAGGTGATGTGACCTAAATCATATCTTTATATTTTCATCGAACAATAGTTGTTCTAACAAAAATAAAAATATTATGGATAAAATTATTTTAAAAAATAAAAAATAAAGTGACTATTTATTCAAGCACTAAATACTAATTTTGTCATTATGCCTAATTAAATTTATTATTTTATTATTGAATAAACTATTAAAATTATCACTTTCATTTTCTAACTATTATGTTTTAAAGTAAATTACATATTTAATCACTTATATATTCTCGTTTTTTATTTTAGTCACTTACTAGTATTTTTTTCCTCAAATTCATACCTATCTTTTCACTTCATTTTTATTTAGATCACCCAACTTAAAGTTTGATAGTTGATTTAATGGAACTGATGATATGGTATTGATGTAATAACTGTAATACCCCAAACATCGGGTCAGTGACTATATTGAAAAGATTTAAAATTTGGTGGGTTAATTTGAATAAATTGAAAAGTGCATGGATTGATTTAGGAAATTATGTTTAAGACTTATTATTAAGAATGGAAGAATGACAGGGCATTATGGTCTTTTAGAAGAAAATTAAATTAATATTCATTCTTTTAGGGATATTTATTAAGTGAATAAGGGGAAAAGGTTAAGTCTGGAAAGTGGGTTCTTTACTCTTCTTCTTCTTCTAGTCCCCGTACTTCCATAGAAAAGGTAAGATTTCTTCAAGTTGGTTTTTCCTTTCGTTTGTGGGTTGGTTTTGAAGCCTTAAATGATATAGATGCTTAAGGAAAGTTCAAGGGTGAATAAAACTAGGAGATTAGTGATTTAGTAGTGATTTAATAAAATGAGTTTTTAAGTGATTTGATGAAATTTGGTCAGAAATTGGAGTTTAAAAGCATATTTGACTTGTCAAAGATGTAAATAAGAGATTTGGAGCCTTAGAAGTGATTGAAAACATGTTTGAATTTTAGGTGTGATTTTTAGTTTTAAGTGTTCTTTGGAGATTTTGGATGTTATAAGGAGATTTATGGATATAAGTTAGTTGGGATAAGTGATAGTGAGTTTGATGGCATGGTTGGAGATAAAAGTAAGAGATTTAAGGGAAATTTGGGTAAAAATCAAAGTGAAATAAGAAAAATATGGGTAAGGGTATCGGTACTGGAAGAACAATACCGATACTATAAGGTTAAATTGGAGGAAAAAGTATGAATATGATGAATAATATCGATACTGATGAAAGTAGTATCGATACCAAGATGAAGGCATTGAAACTATAATTGAAAAATGGATTCCAGAATGCAAAAATGGTATCGATACTGAAGTGGATATCGATACCATAGATGAGAAGTATCGATACTGTAGGAGGGGTACTGATACTATTCAATCTGAAATTTTAAGTTAAGATGAATGTTTAAAGAATTCGAACATAATAGTACTTTTGAGTATTATTATTTTGTATAAATATTAGAAAGTATACTAACATTGTATTTTATATTGTATATGTGATTATGGATGCTTGGTTAGATCGTAATCAAATTCTGGAGTCAATCAAACAAAAGGGAAATGATAAAGTTGCAGAATTGTAGGATATCATTAAGGCATAATAGTGAGGCATACTAGGCGAGTGCATTATTATGTACTTATACGAGATGAGGATGACTTGCGATGAGTCAACCTCGAATTTTTTTATAAAAGTATGTTTTATAGTATTTTGAAATATTTTCATAAAGTTTATGAAAATGATTTTATGATTAATTTTAGAGTATGAAACGCTCTAAAATAAATAGATGAACTTTTATATTGTTTTAACAATTATTCGATATTTCAGAATAAATGTTTAATCTGCGAAATTGATTGAAATGCCTATTGTATGTGCATTGAGAGTCATAGGTGTATTTTGACATACTTTGTGTATAATGTTTATCGATCGATTTTTTTAATGCATA